TTTCTTTCTCTCTCTCTCTCTCTCTCTCTCTCTCTAGCTGTTGCTTTCTCTTTGCTGTAATGCTTAGGCTGTTAATCAAATCAATGCCTGGTCTCTGCACAGCCATCACATGTGCAAGTAATAGTTCAGTACTGAAACTACCTTTATGACCCTACACTTGACACTCCCTGATGAGGACCTTTAGACCCAACTGCAATGAAGTACTTTACGTGATCGCACTTCATTAACACTAACGGCATAGGCCTGATGTTTTTTATGAGCTAAAAACGATTGTGTTTTGAAATAGCCTTGTAGTCATAGATGTTGAAGAAAACATTATTTAAGGGATATTTCTCTTGTATTCCAGCGGGATTGGAATATAATAACAGTTATTGTGAACCATGGTTCATTTTGCAATCTGCCAATAATGTGTGAGTATCGACTGACTTTCCTCACAGAGGTCAATTCCCGCTGGGCTCCGGTGGCCTTTTACGTATGGCTTCCAACTCTGTACGTTGGAGTATGATAGAACTTAGGAGCTTACCGATTAGATGTGACCTCTCGTACAAAAACTCTTTAAGACCTGCAAACTTGCTTCATGCTTCCTTTCGGGACATTCTGGATATGGAGAAGCAAAAATACAGCAAATGGAAACATGCATCCCTCACTGAACCACTCAACAGCAGACACGTGGCACCATTCTGAGCTGCAACACTATGCGTGTGTGTGTTTCAGTGTGTATGGGGGTGGTTATTAGAGGTTTCGACTGAAAATCCAGACAGATTGCTTGAATGTAATTGAAGGCTGAAAATAAAGGCTCTCCAGAGTCATTTCACAGTTTTTCCCCTCCTCTCCAGATGAGCTTGTATGAACCCCAACCCCAGCACTCTACCATTATCTGCAATTACCATAAAATCATCTGTGTTCAAATACAGCACTGTCATCCTCCATCTCCCAATAATATATGATGTTTTATGGGGTTTCATTCAGAAAGGCAGGAGTCATCCGGTTCACAAAGCACACACAGGAAGCACTGAGAGTTTGGAGAGTTCACAGAGATGATGGTAGGAAGTCTGACCCTCTGGTCTGACCACTAAGAGAGCAGCGTCGTAAAACAGCAGGAATTGTAATGCAGTAGAGCAGCATGCGTAATGCAATAATTAAGCTGAATGCATATTTTATTTTATTTTATATTATTTAATTTTATTTTTAATTCATGTGACTGCTGTTTTATTTTTCTTACTTTTTAAGTTTCTCAACAGGTTCACTCTGTCTCATATGACCTGAGCAAAGCTGAAATGATTAGGCTTTATGCTGCTTTTAGACCAGTCACATGGTTCTTATGTGAGCCCAGAATCACTATTTCTGTTCCTTTCCCTTTAGCAAACTCCCTTAATAAGCACATATGTGTAGTCTCTTTTTTGTGGTGTTTTCTAAGGCAAGCATCACTATTATTATTATTATTATTATTATTATTATTATTCACTATTCTGCACTATGCACATAAAGGATACCTCAAATCATGTGGTTTGTTGAAGATAAATATATGTTATTACTTTTCTAAGCGATCAGACATATTATTTTCACCTGGCAGAGGATAAATCTCATAGACTTGCATTAAAGATGGGAGTCGAATCATATCTGCAGACTAGAATATCATAGATACATTGACTTGGGTCAACTGTTAATGAAAATAGAAAAAAGTTGGCACACTTTGGATCAACCATTCCAATCACCCTATAGCTTCTTGGTGGTGTCTAGTTGCATGGGAGAAATTACAATTTTAAAGAGAAACAGGTTTCTAGAATATACTGTTCTTTCAGTAATTTCCAACATATTTTTTGCCCATGTAGCTGTTTTGTAAATTACTTGCAGAGTAATTTTACATATCCCAGATTAAGCTGTGGTGTTGTGTGAGGTAGCGATGTGTCCTATGGAGTCCTGGCTCTGTTCAAGTGTACCCCCGCTCCTGTCGATAAGAGGTGAGGCACATAAAAAAACCCTCATCTGCCCCAGCAGCGCAGAGGGAATTAGCATACGTTAGTTGCCTGTAGGGCCGAGATTATTGTTCTGTCTTAAATTCAATTTCTTCTGCCTCAGGACAAGCTTCTGTACTAGGATTAACTCTCTCTGTCTTCTCCCTGGCTTTGTGGCTAGCGTGTGACATGTTATCAGTCTGTACTGCATATAACCTTGTTAGCATTACAAAGTATGGAAGAAAGAGGGAGAAAACAAAAAAAGAAATCTTTTTGTAACATTACACACGTCTTTACTGTTACTTTATTTCATTGTTGCTGAAGAAAAGTAATAATTTCTTTTAAAAGAAAAAAAAACTGACTCCAAAAATTTGAATGTGTATTATTTATTTATTTTTCGTTACTAATAAAAAGCAAGCCCAGAGTCAGCCCAGCTGGACTGTTTTAGTTGAGCTTGCCTTTCTCCAGACTGAGACCTAATATATATGAATCCCTCAGCAGTTTCAGTATTACTGCATTAAACGGGATGATAAAATGAGCAGTGACTCACCGTATTGAAAACTCGAAGACTTAGAGGTATTAACTGAACTGAAGTTTATGGAGAGAAATGTTCTCTGGTGGGTTAATCAGAGACTTATAACGAAATAAAAGGATCCCTTCGGCTAAGTTAGGCTGAAAAGAGCTTTATTGCCTATATCCGAGGCGAATACCACTTAGATCTAAGAAAGTTTTTTCACACCGGTTAATCACTGACAGTTGTGAGCTGTGATTATGACCAGTGCTTTATAACAACTCTGAATAATCAGGATTCTGAAGTAAAATACACCTCCATATTTGACCTCCGGTTCTTATCTGCCAGTTTCTCCCTTCTCCCACCGGTTCTGCTTCACTGCTAACGTGCTAATTGCTTTGTCACAGTTATGTTTTGACAGGAAGCTATGGTGATGTAGCACACTAATTAATGGGTCTCAAAATACAGCCTTATTTAGACAAGAAATGCAAATGTGACACCGGTGAAAGAAATTGTTTGTGCGGAGCATGACTGTTGGGCCAGAATTTCGGCAACACTTCTGGGAGCTGCAGGTGCCCAATTGCTGCTTTACAAAACACCACTCTGAATCCTGAAAGTTGGTGTGTGTTTGTTGTGCCTCCGAGGGGCTAGTTATCTACCGATTGCAGCCCGGTTCCTCTTGACCTCCCTCGGGCTGAGTGGCCCTGCGTAATTGAGTGCAACCTGAAAAGTTGTTCTGAAAGGTGGGTTATCTGCCCGCTCTAATCCCACAGGAGAACAGCACAGGGGAGGAAGGGGACAAGCCCCTGAGGGTTGGAGTCCCTGTCTGCCAGCCACAAGGCATTATGGAAAAAGTCACTTTGGGACACAACTTTGAAAGTCTTAATGACTTGTGGTACCTAAAGATGGTGTAACTCATTATATTTGTTTGCATGTCTGCTGCACTGTTCTATAAATTACCCAAAAGTCCCATGTGTAAAAGTAAAGATGCTCAAGGTTAACATAAGAAATAGGGAAAGTACTACTATAAGTTTTAAAGCAACTGATATTGCATGTATGTTTGAAGTATGAAAGAATAGCATAAGGAATTGGATCAAATGATTTGAGCATTTTTTTTGTGAATCAGTTCAAATGATTCCATAAAAAGATTGAAGAACAATTAGTTTGAGAATCAGACATCATTACCTGCATCCCACTTGTGTAATTAATGAAATATATGAACGAAGTACAAACCCATGGAACATTGCGATTTGACATAAAACCAGCAATTGTATAATATAAACCTCTTGATTTATAGTCATTGGTTGTAAGTTTACAAACAATGCTTCAATTTTATTAATACAAATTGTATTCATTTTATCATTTTTATTGCAACATATACATACACAAATTTATGGGATTTTTACTTTTTATATTTAAAAGGTAAAAATATAATTTTATTTTTATTAAAATATATGTTATCATTTTTTTAATCAAACAAAATAATATATATATATATATAATAACTCTATACCTCTGTAGACAAACGATCATCATCTTCTTGCAGTGTTCAACTGCAACAGGAGCAGATCATCTCTGTTCTGTTGGCCGGAGTCCAGTGAGCATTTGTTTTCTGGTGTGGCTCCGACATGCCCTTCAGACTGCGTGCATCAGATTGCACTGTATCCTCATGCTGTTTGAAGGGAGACGCGTATGGCACGTTAACTGAGAGTTCACTTTTCTCTCTGTGTGTGTGTACACTTGCAATGACTGCTGATTTCCTGTCTGTTTAATGTACTGACCCTGTGCTCTCGCCTTTGTTCGTCTCATTCTCTTGCAGACGGAACCTCACCAAGCTCTCGCTGATCTTCAGTCACATGTTGGCTGAGATCAAAGCCATCTTTCCAGGTGGACAGTTCCAAGGAGACACATTCCGCATTACCAAGGCCGACGCCGCCGATTTTTGGAGAAGGTCTTTTGGCGAAAAGTAAGTTTGAACAGTTTTCTTCTCATTTCAAGATGTATCTGCCAAATCAGATCTTTTCTTTCCCATTTTCATTACAGCTTCAATCAATTAAAGCTCTTTGTCATGGAGAAATGCCTTTTCTCTTCTCTCCATTTAGCAGCGAGTGCTGCTCTTGAGCCAGGCCTGTGATTTAGCATACATCTGCACACTAAACCAGACACGGTGATGGCTCTAGTCAGCATTTGAGAGGTCACTGGTTAGTTGATTTTTTTTAAGTGAAAAAAAGTGAAAGTGATATGTGGCCAAGTATGGTGTCCCATACTTGGAATTTGTGCTCTACATTTAATGTTTACACACACACACACACCGTGAACACACCTCAGTCGTGGTATTGAGGGTGGAAGAGAGCGCTATACATTTACTCCTCAACCTACAATTCCTGCCGGTACTGAGACTCGAACGCTGACTCTCTAACCATTAGGCCACGACTGCCCCACTTTTTTCAGGTTAATTAAGAGCATTAGGGGTCTTCTGCCTCTTAATGCTGGAATATGAGATTCCTTGTTTGCTGTTTGCTGGAAAAGCGTTTCATTTTGCTGTACTGCCAGCTAGGGCTGGGCAATACCATTTATACTGATATACAGTAGTTTGATACGAGCACATCTGAATAATAGCAGAGGACATAGAGTGAGCTTCTGTGGGGAAAGTGCATAATCCATTTTGTCCTAAACATGAGACATGCTTTATATTAAGGGCTTTAAAATAACTGGTAAGATATAGTTTACACGTATAGTTTAAAGCAGCTTGTTAGATACTCTGACAGACTCATGTGCTGCTGACAGATTTGCGGTGTTTAATGTGTTTGAGATGTGCTGCTTTCCTCTGAACTTACATTTCACAGGTATATTCTCCATATATATAAAGTCATGTAAATATTTCCATGTTGCTGTCAGGAGCCTTTTGCATGCGATTCTCCAGTAAACTTCACAGACTTCAGTGAACGAGCACTGCCGCACACATGTGCACCAAACTGATGGTGTGCAATGGAATAGGAGCGCAATAATTGTGTCATATGTAGAATTTAAACCTACAAGTAAGTGTATTTTATGATAGCAGATAGCAGTAATGGGGTAATCAAAATATAATGCAATTAATCTGTGCTCTTGTGTTTATTTACATTCATTTTTAGTTTAGTGAATTGAACTTCTGCTTTAAAAAGCATTGTTTTTAGATTGTAATATTACAATGTTAGAATGAAATGTGATTTTAGCCCCTTTTTTGCACATAATGGATAGCATAACCTACTTTCACTATATTTGTTTTCATTGCCTTTAATATAAACATTGTTTCCTTGGACAATATTGGGCAGGATGTAAAATAAATAAATAAATAAAATAACATACATACAAAAAATACTGAGATATGATTTTTTGGTCATTTTGCCCAGTCTTACTGCCAGCATGTAAATATAGATAGAGAAAGAGATAACGTTGTAAAAGTTCATGCAAGTCAGTTTGGATCGTTCAGGGATCCGGGGACCTCAGGGTATTCTATGTGGTCCATGAAAAAGAAAACAATAATAAATAAAACCCATAATAAAATGTAAAATAAATGATGAAAAAGGAAAAATGTACAGAATTTGATATTATTACTGTTTTGATCTGCATTATTGAAACTTCATTTTAATATGACAGAGCTCGTGTTTTAAAGCGAAACACACTGGAATGAATAATTCACTTAAAACGCAACGCGACACTCTTTTCTCTCTGCAATCTCTGATGTAATCAGCCTGGTTTCCTTTATATTAGCGCTGTTTTGGACGGATTGTTTGAATGCATTCGCTTACTGGATCATTGGACAAAAAACTTTCCCGGAGTTTAGCAGCATAAAATGATCTGATCGCAAGCAGAGAAGCAAAATTGGGTTAAAGGGTTAGAATAGAAATTGTGCTTCAGTAATTTTGCATTAATTGCGTTAAATTATTTTAACGCGTTAAGGATTGTAAAATTAATCGCATGCGTTAACGCATTAACGATTACAGCCCTTAA